AGAGATAAATCGGACTTCATTCTGCAATTGAGAGCAATAATCACTGACTCATTTGTAAAAACACTCATATGCATAGGGAAACTAAAGGTACATACGTTGTTTCTAAACTGAACTAAAAGTTGAAGTTCCTAATTGCAAAATGCAGTCTACTTGAAGCAATGTGTTTCATGTTTTTTCTTCAAAAAACCACAAGAACGGAATGTTGGAAAGCAATGCCCATACAGATAATTCTTTACTAATCTATGTTACATGATGGCAAAAGTATAAATTTACCGATTTGTATGATCTCCGTTCCATTTGATCGACGCAAAGTATTAAAAATCTCGCTTAGGGGATGACATCGCTTAGGAGGTCTAAAGGCCCACTGTCGACAAAGACGTATGATATATGTACTTGATACTTGAGATGTTATTCTTCAAAGTGTTGGTTCTACAATGTCTAGACTCTTACGAAACAAATCTGTCGTAGGCTTTTCTTTACGACCCCAGAAATTGACAGCTGATACGGTGTCACTGATATCCTACCCCGGTGAGCTGTTCATGAGGACGCTTAAACTCTTGGTTTTGCCGTTCGTTGTGTCTTGTATAATCAGCGGTAAGTATAGCAAATCCATAGAAATATGTTTACCCTACACTGGAAAAAAAAGTCTGCTACGGTCAAGCCGTCTCGGAATCTTGAGAAAAAATCAGCTTGATTCAAGAATTTGTATCTTAAAACAAGCAATTTATTGCTAAATTCAAGATTCGAGATTCTCAATTGCAGCTACCTTATAGCTTGGATCACCTGCTTGCTTGATTTAAGCAGCACAAAAATCTTGAGTCAAACTTGCTGAGTCTTACATCAAGCTACCATGGCTGCTAATTCTAAGAAGTTGTTTCTTGATTCAAGATAATGTATACTCGATTCAAGATTCCTGGTTTCAAGCATGACACGCATCTTGGAAGTAGCTGAAAAAATTGGACTTAAATTAAGTTTGCAGCCAACTTCTTGAATTAAGTTTCCATTGTATTGTAACCACTCCGCCTTCATTTTCGACACGGGTATTAAGTTATACATTCATACATTCTCAAGTCATTCCAGGAGATCTCCAAAAGCCGCGCATTTTAACATAGTGCTGCAAACCGAGAACAAAACCCGCGGCAACGCACGACGACTTCAACATGATCCATGTCGAAGAATCAGTAACGTTTTATCCCTACGTTACGGAATTTTATGAAAAATGAATAAAACTTTCAGTTTTTAGTATTGGATCCGAGCATTAAACGAAAAATAATTAAGATTCCGCCGGGTAGCTCATTTCAAGCAGCACGGCCATGCTTATTTCAAGCTATACGTTTCTTGGCGGCAAATTTAAGATTTTTTCCAGCTTGCTTCAAGCTGATTTTGATTTGTTTCAAGCTACTTTTTTTTCCAGTGTATGTTGAGTTGAATGTTGCTCATTGTATTGTGATCTAAACTCTAATTAAGCTCGTGGTATTATTTCAAGAAGAGACGACACGTCGTCACTTTCCGGCAAAAGTATCACAAATGCAATGCGACGTTTCAAAATTTTATCCGCCATTTTATTTTTTTACGGATAAATTGTTGGTTGAATCTGTTTGGGAATTTCACTGAATTTTATCGGCAGAAATTCAGAGAAATTTTCGGACAGCTTCGTCGAACAATTTCTCTGTGAAAAAATAAAATGGCGATAGAAATATTGAGAAGTCGTAGGCGCGTGTGATACTTTGGCTGCAAGCTGACGACATGCTCACTTCGTATACATAAATTTCAATTTAAAATTAAAACAGGAGGTGGAATATCGCTGGGCCCACAATATTTGCGGGTAAATCGAGGCCAAACACCTTAAAATCGTAGTTTTTTTACATTGCACTTATGGTGATGTCTAGGGACGGAGAGAACTTCGGACTCGACAAGTGGGATTTTGTCTAAACCGCAAGATTTTACTGTATTTCAATTTGTTCAAAAGAATAGGGGTAGTAGGGGACTTTTTGATCACCCCCTACATAGCTAATTAACCCATAGTACAAAATATAAACTTCAAAGTGAAATAATGAAGTTAAACGTTTGATTCCTCGGTCATAATTAGGCCTAAGAAATTATTTACAAACTTGCGAGTGATTGATCGTCGCAATGCGGAATAAAGTTGAAAAAATCAATCTTCTGAGGACGATAACCTCAGTTTCCTTCAATTTAATAGGTATGCAATTCGTTTTACGGAGAGTTGAAATAGAGGCTAACTCTCGAATAAAAATGAGAAACAACAGGGACATTAGGTTGGGTCGGATCCAATTACTTTTTTGCAGATCGGCTTTTCTTTATGTTGAATTTGATTTGAAAAACGAGTGGCAGTTGCTGTATTCGACTGATTTTTTTTCTTTCTTTGTCTTTTTCTCGAAACAATTCCAAGCTGACAAACGGTTGAGAATTCCTGCATTGTATTGTTCGAAGGCACGGCATCACTGAACGTCCAAAAAAATGGGAAAATCGCCATCCGAACTCTGGCGTATTTCTTCTCGACCTCGCTTCTCAACGTGGTACTCGGGACGTCGTTGGCTCTCCTCATGCAACCGGGCACCGCGAGTTACAAATCATCTGAACATAAACCGCCGAGTCACAGGCCTCAAATTTCGGTGCAGGATGGATTCTTGGACATTGGACGGTGAGTTTCATTCCGGGTAAAAAACCAACGAATAAATAGAAAATTCGGCGATTGTTAAGGCACATACTTCTGATTGCACAATCGACACTCTATTGAGTGTCGATTCTTGATTGAGTGTCTCCTCAATAGAGATACTAAATAACGTAATTTCTAGCTAGTACGTACCTGATATCTTTCTTGCTCTTGTTATCCCGTGTACCTTAATAAGACGACGATGCGCATTTCGAGCTTTGCGAGGCTCATATTCTGGTAATTTAAATCTTGACGGACCACTCCACAGTCCGCACGTCACATCGTGAAATGAGCAAAAATGTATGAAAATGAACGAAAACCGAAAACAATTTTTTCGAATAGAATAAAATATGGGAAAACAAGAAATAATCTGGGTTGCGAGGCTCAACTTATCACTTTGATAACGTTACACCTGCGCACGCTCTTCGATCAAATATAGTTACATTTTCTGACCCGTTCAACCTCTCTAAAGGGCCGTGGGAGGATAGGCTACCGTGGCGGTTATACGTCGCAGAACGCCGGAGAGCACCGTAAAAGAGACTCTTTCGTTTGTATCGTTCGAACTCTCATTCTTGTCAGCGAAGGAAAATTTTAGAGATTAATTTTATTGGGATTTGTTTTTGGGATTTTTATTTGGGAGATTATTTTTATTACATATTCCAAAATCGTCCATTGTAGGGAGATTAATGAGAACATGAAAACTTGATATAAGTTGCGGTACATATATTTGACTTTATCGACCTACTGGGAGTATTACGCCAATGAGGCTATTTGAGGCATTTCAAAAAACCGTTTCATAAACTTGAATGAAACCTAAACGTATACCTCCACAAATTCTCTTCTCTTTGTTTTTCGCATTAAATTTAGAGTAATTTATTTGCTTTCAGGAATCTGCTGCCAGATAATCTATTTAGAGCAACTTTGGAAACAGTAAGTTATGGTCATTCTCCTCAAATACTTCATTGCGGTGTTATCCTAAAATCATGAATCGTATAAGAGGTATTTTTTTATAAAAAAGCATACGTATTTTACAATGCTACTCAGATGTTGCAACTTGTACTCAATTCATTACCCACGATATTGTTTTCATTTAAATTTTTAAAAAAATGAGAAATCCGTACCCCCTGAAGATAGCTGTACATTGAAGGTCTGAACAACGGTGCAATTCCAGTTTTATGCTGGTGTAAAAACATACAGTTTCGACAGGGACTCAAGAACACTCATATGATGACATGTTTTTTTAAGCTTTCTCGACATGTAATTTCTTTTTAGAAAATTATACTTAAATCGTTGCTCAAAAAGTTAAAATTTCGATTGATCTACGTTTAAAATTTCTACATTACTCTCACGTTGACGAAGAGTGCTTTAATTTAGTTCAAATTGAGACATTTAATTACAAAAATAAACTCTTTAGGTGCATAGATACATCAGTTCATAGCATTTATCATGCATATCAGCACTCAAATATTTTGGATATCAATTTCTAAGTCATATGATACAAAATAACTTCATATCCAAGGTAAAACTGGCACAATGGGCCTGTTGCAAACTTTTGTTAGAGCAAAACTACGAGTTGTTTCTTATAGATAATGCCTCAAAAATCACGATGAGCGC